TAAATTTTGTTAATTTAAAAAAAAAAATTTAAAAAATATATAATACATAAATTTATCCCTTAAAATAATATAAATATTAATCAGATATTATAAAAATTTATTTACTCACTTTTATTGATTAAACATTAAATTATGTCACTTAGCATCATCCATAATTTATCTAGACTTTTCGATTTCATATACTTGCATATCTTGTGATTTTCTTCATAAACATTAAATTACGTCCTTAGCGTCATCCATAATTTATCTAGACTTTCGGTTATCATATATATATCGTTTTTGATTAAGCATTAAATTACATCACTTAGCATCATCCACTTATTTATCTTGACTTTTTCAGTTATCATATATGTATATCATGTGATTTTTATTCATTAAACATTAAATTATGTCATATCATCCATAATTTATCTAGGATTATTCTTGTCATGGTTATCTTCGGTTCTAAAAGAATCCATAGAGAAGTGTTATTTTATATATATGTTTATATATAATTATTTTTATATTTGCATATACTCTATCGCTGATATCGAGCACTTTTACCCATACATATAGCATACCTTAAATTTTATTTTTATCATATATATATATATATATATATATATATATATATATACATTTATTCAGGAATTTTGAAGCATTTTTATGAGTCATAACAGATTTAGTAATGACTGAATCATGTTTTTGAACCCATATAAAAAGCCAGGACTTAAAGGCTGATTTTCAAGTTGAGTGTGCCCTGCCTTACCCCAAAGGTTGGTTTAACAATCTTTCTGCCTCCATTTAGTTTTGTGCTGTACAAAGATGACCTGAGTAAATATCAAGACATAATAGATTCAGTGAACAACATTTCTATTATAGACAAGATTATTTTTATGTCTCTTTTTTTTAAACACATAAAAAATACGTTTAGAAGAGTTGAACAAGGGAAATATAATTTTGTAGCATATCAACAGTTTTGTAGTGCAAAATAACACAATTGCATTACTAAGTCATTTTCATATGCATAAATAAGAAAATAATGCTAAAGATGAACAATGTAAGATAGGGAGGTCAAGAGAGAATGAAGTAGGAATAAATCTATATGAGATAACAAAAAAGTGACCTGAAGTGTAAGGAGAGAGAAATGGAGATGAAGAGAGTGAGGGAAGGAGAGAGAAATGGAGATGAAGAGAGAGAGGGAAGGAGAGAGAAATGGAGATGAAGAGAGTGAGGGAGGGAGAGAGAAATGGAGATGAAGAGAGTGAGGGAGGGAGAGAAAAATGGAGATGAAGAGAGAGAGGGAAGGAGAGAGAAATGGAGATGAAGAGAGGAGGGAGGGGAGAGAAATGGAGATGAAGAGAGTGAGGGAAGGAGAGAGAAATGGAGATGAAGAGAGAGAGGGAAGGAGAGAGAAATGGAGATGAAGAGAGAGGGAGGGAGAGAGAAATGGAGATGAAGAGAGTGAGGGAGGGGAGAGAAATGGAGATGAAGAGAGTGAGGGAAGGAGAGAGAAATGGAGATGAAGAGAGTGAGGGAGGGAGAGAGAAATGGATAGACTGAAATACAAGATGAACTGAGAAGAAATAAACAAATGGAAATATAAATTGAAAATCATAGATACGAAGAGTAAGGTAGTCAGAAAGAAATCTGTAAATGAATTTATAATTTATTACATCAACAGACCTGTATTTATATATATATATATATATATATATATATATAATACTTGATTAGTGCAGTCAAACATTCTTTTGTTTAACCATAGTAATTGAAAAATGATTTTTTTATAGTTAATGATTAATTAAAAATATTCTAAAATTTAGAAATGGGTAACTATTTTGCTTGTCAATTTTGTTTATATTCAATTAATGTGTTTTCGATTAGTGCGTATGTTTTAATGTACACATTAGCCACAATAATCGAGGGATTATTACATATATATATATATATATATATATATATATATAATATAATCTATGGTGATATTAGCTATTTCCTTATAAAGAAACATTCAACATTAATTTTTCTCTTAAAACAATTTTTCAGAAAAATAGGTTTCTCATGTTCACTGTTATCCCTTTTTCCAGTATTGATGGGGGCTTCCTGACTAATGTTTTGTTTGGAATAGTGCAAAACTTTTAAATCTTCATTATGTTATTATTTTCCCATTGACTTACATGAGTTATCTATTTTTGTTGCTGCTGTTGCTGAAAGTGATGTAGTTTCTGTCACTTGGTAGAGTTCTGGGTTTGTGATTCTGTAGCACAAGTACATAAGGTTCAGAGAATATATATGTAGAGAAAGTGAAAGCTTTTTATGTTTTTGAGCTTTTTATTCATTTATTTGTCACTATATAGATAGATAATTTACATTGGATATATATATATATATATATATATATATATATATATATAATTGCTTGTACCACCTGATGAGTGGATGGAGTGATTCCCGGATTGTCCATCTGCAAAATTCTGGAGTCGGGATGCTGAAGTGACAAACCTTTTACATGTATTAATTACATGTGGAAAGTGAGTGAGAGAGAAATATAGAGGCTGAGCGAGAAATGGAGAGAGAGGTAGGAAGGAAGAGTGAGAGATAAATAGTAAAAGATAGATAGGGAGGGAGAGTGTAGTAAAAATAGAGATGGAAAGAGAAATGAAGATGAAGAGAGTGAGGGAAGGAAAGAGAAATGGAGATGAAGAGAGTGAGGGAAGGAGAGAGAAAGAGAAATAGATGAAGGGAGAGACATAGAAGGTGAGAGAAATAGAGGCGAAGAAAAAGAGAAAGAAAGTAATAAATGAAAGTGAAAATAATATAAAAATGGTAGATATGAATAGTTTAAGAAAATCAGGGAACAGCAGGCATCTGAATAATTTTCATTTTATATATATATATATATATATATATATATATATTATTTATTTTAGGATATTACACCAAAAATATGTCAAATCGCTACATAATTGCAGTCATGTTTCGATGTATATCAATGCATCTTATCAGGTGATTGTAATTTACAATAAATAATTTAAAATAAATAATATTGGTCTACTTTGTATTGATCCCTCTTTTAAATTAAATGTTATGATTATGGGTGATGAATTATTCTCCACCCTTCAACCTCTCTCCCACAGGCAGGATATGGCAAGCCTCTCACTGCTGTACCACTACTTCCACAGAAAGTGCTCAGACAGACTACATTCCCTGGTTCCACTGAGGCAAACCTTCTCAATAAGAACATGCCATGCCACTTACATAGTAGCAAACCACCCACATTTCCTCTGTATTCCACCAGTGAGAAGTAGGTTCCACTCAAGCAGTTTCTTTCCATAAACCACTGCCCTGTGGAACTGACTCCCAACTGGGTGTTTCCCCAATCACTACAATCTTAACCTGTTCAAGGCTAGGGTTAACCATTATCTTCCACTCCTATACACAAAAATGGCCTCTACACATAACTATATACCTCAAGTGGTTCCCAGGCCTTCTAAATGGTGAATCTTTTCGTAAAAAAAAAAAAATGAGAGAGAGAAAGATAATGAGGGGGAGAGAAAGTAATAAACAAAAGGAAAAATAATATAAAGTGAAAGAAAGAAAAATCAAATCCTGAGAAAACAGAAATGGTTAAGTAAAATATAAAAAAACAGTAAAAAAAAAAAAAAAAAAAAAAAAATAAGAGGATCTCAGAATGATACCTCTCTATGGAGCAATAGTTAGCAAGCTAGTTTGACAGATTATTACTGCTGTAGTGAGTTTGATACTCACAAGGTGCCCCACACTTGTGAATGTGTACCAGATGAAGTCAAGCTTCGTGGAAAGATCTGAGCTTGTATAAAATTTGTGATAGAAAGAAAAAGAATAGAAAAGAGAAAATAGAAAGTGTGGGAGGAATGAGAATGGGAAAAAGAGTTATAAAAACAGAGAGAAAATAACACATTAATAAAATGCGAGTTGAGAAAGAAAACAAGAAGAGAAAAAAAAGACACACAGTGTAAGCAAGAAGGATAGGAAGAGTGGTAAGGAAAAAGAAAAGAAAGAAAAGCATGTGCGAAAATAGATAGGTTTCTGTGGGATGATACCCTTAACACTAACATATATGCTGTCTGTGAGTGGCTCCTGAATATAGTCCTTATAAATAACTTGCAGAGGTAATGTATTTGCATATCTAATTTCGAAGAAGCAACTTGTCATTATAGAATTTTTATGGTGTTTTTTCTCATTTTATGGACATCACTGCAAAAGCAGGGATTTGCAAGATTAGCAAAAGACCTGCTCATAACAACCACCAAACATATGCCGGCTGTTTTTGCAACCTTTAAATGTGTTAGTAAAGCAAGCAGCTGCACAATCTATGAGCCTCTTTAGGGATTTTACAGAAAAAAAAGATTTTGTCAGAAACAAAATGTGTACCAAGAAATATGCATTAAGTAAAAAGATTTTTTGCATGATACTTTATATATATATATATATATATATATATATATATTCATTCAAACAGGTTTGGTTAAATAATTTAGACATATCATGTTGATTAATTTCCATTGATTTTAATTTTCAAGTTTATTGGATTCATTTTTTGGTAGATTTAGAAAATTGAAAGAAAAATACCAAAATTTTCTTTCAAAATTTTTTATTTTCCCAAGGACTTTCATTTGCATCTGAAAACTTAATCCCCTGAAGATGATCTCAGATGAGATTGAAAGTATTTTGGAAAATAAAAACTATTCAAAAGAAAATTTTGGTATTTTTCTTAATCAATTTTCTAAATCTACAAAAAAATTAATCCACAAACTTGAAAGGATCACAACGGAAATTAATCAACATGATATGTCTAAATTATTTAACCAAACCTGTTTGAATGAAATATATATATATATATATATATATATATATATATATATATATATATATATATATATATGAGAAAGTAACTTAGACAGAAAATTCTTGAGAGTACTACTATAAATCTGCACCTTGTATTTTTTTTCAAGTATCTCCCTTCCTGATAAAATTACTATTTTATCAAGCCAACATTCATGATTATAAAAATATTAAAAAACTAAAAGAATATGTTTAAATTCCTAACCTCATGTTATTTAAAATATATAGCACATAAATTAATCCCAAACTAAAATAACTTAAATGCTAATTTGCATTAAAAAAAAAAATTCAAGATCATCATTTACTCACTTTCATTTATTAGACATTGAATTGCATCATTTGGCATCCTCCATAGCTTGTCTAAACTTTTCAGCTAACCTAATGAATATTTATGAGCATTCTTAAATTCAAATATTTTAAAAAAAAACCATTAACATTTTAGCTCTTGTCTGATGTTCTGTACTTTCTGCACGTGTACAAAAAAACATGATCACTACTTACAAAAAATATATAAATACAGGAATTTTTGACATTTAGAATACTGTCTTTACTGAGCATAAAACACCTGGTAAGTAATCCACAAATGAAGGTGTTACAGTGATCACTAACAAAAAACTGGCACCAATGTAGGATACATAGCTGGGATTTCTAAAATTTTCCATTTGTGGCAAGTCATGTCAGCACCTGAAAAAATCTGAGATTTTGGTGGTTTTTGGATTCTGGAATTTTGAAATAAGAATACTCAACCTGTATATATTTTTAAAATGTTTGTTTTTAAATTTATAATAAAATGCTGCACTCTCAACAGATTGTTTAAATAATAAATTCATCTTTACATGATTGAATAACATTCAGAGCTATCACATCCTTTTCTTCTATGTGACTTGTCCTTTCAGGAAATTAGTGATCAAGGATCCCCACAATTTCCTGTTCTTTATAACTCTTAATAAATTTTGTGTTTTCGTTATCATATCATACTTATTATAAAACCCAGGTTGTGTGTGTGTGTCTGTACGTTTATATATTGGATCGGATTTCCTACATTTTTCAACCGATTTCAACAAAACTTCACAGGACTACGTAAAATTACCTTGCAATGGTTCTGACAGCACCAAAAATTGGAAAAACACAATTGTTTTTGTATGAAATCAATTTGAAAACACAATTAAAAGGAATTGCTGTCGAGAATGAAAGGGGGACAACTCATATCGAGTTATACTTAAAACCCAGGTTGTTTGTGTATGTGCGTGTTCGTTTATATATGGGATCGGATTTCCTACATGTTTCAACTGATTTCAACAAAACTTCACTTTTTTTTGGCAGGTAGTGTTTCTTATTGTCTTGCACTTTTTCTTTATTTTTTACATTCAGAATGCTTTAAAAATTCCATTTACAAGACAATTGTTTATAATAAAATTCTATTCAATCGGTAGACTCATAACGATTGAAAACAATGTTTTTGTTTGAGTTTGGGTTTGACCAATTCGTAAAAAAAACAAAAAAAAACAAAACAAAAAAACTAATTAAGACATGCGTGTCCATCAACCTTAAACTATAATCTTTGTCAATTTTATTTTTCAGTCTTTATGATGGTCAATACTTGATCTATCTCTTACTGTTACATCCCCGGGCAATGCCGGGCTCTACTGCTAGTCTCTCCTAAACATTGCTCTGCCATCCATTTACTCAAGTTCATGTGTTGTTTTCCTCTGTTTTGCTTTTGATATATCCTGTGAGTATCAAATGTTCCAAGCCCTCTTTTCTGTACCCTAGAAATTTCAACTTTCTTTTTCTGATTCTAAGTATAATTGTTCTTTTTTGTTTCCATTTTCTTCTTGCTCACATGTTCAGTCTATTGTATTTTCAGCATTCTTTTGTAGAACCACATTTCTGTTGCTTCAAGTCTCTTCTTATTGTCCGGCATTCACTGCCATATCAGAAGACTGAGATAAATTGAATAGACCTGTCATAAATATATACAAGCTGATAGAAAGCTATGTGATGTTAGATTATCTTAGATTAGATTAGAGAAGATCAATTTGAGATCTGATCAGAGATCATTTCTGAAGTAAAGAATGTAAATTATTGCAGTTCCCAATTCTGGAGTGTATTAAACCAGATTAAATATGATACAATACAACCAGCTATGGCATATGGCTTCAATAACATAATTCATAGGAAAGATATAAGAATGCACAGATCCGTGCATTATAATATGTCATCCAATAAAGCCAGATCTTTATAAGCAAAGGTAAAACGGTGTTGATCAGTCACTCATTTCAAAGGAGAAAAGCAATCTTTTGTGAATGAAGGCGTTTACATGCAGTTGATAAATGTGAAGAATGATTGAACTCTTTTGTTATCTTTTTCTTGCTTGCTATAGAGGTTCTTCTTTTATCTTACTACAATGATGTTCACTCTGTGGAAGGCCCGTGAGCCATTCAAAGTAAAAGATTACAGAGTAAGATTGATGGATTTGTTTTCTATGGTTTATCAACCCTTTGCAGGTTATTTAAAGCCAGAAAATCCTTTCAGATTGTAAGTTTGTCTTGTTTTGTTTTTGAGATAATAACTGTTTAGTAATACAAGTCTTACTAATTAACCCACAGCTGGGGGGAAAAGAGGTGGATTCATACCTTTCCCCAAGTGTATTTGTGCCTACGTGAATATAACAGACCCAACAAGAATTGGAACTCTGCTATCTGATTAACAATTCTGAACCATTATCTATTACACCACCTGCACATTCAAGCTTACAGCACCTTGAAGTCTCAAGCAGTCACCCACCAAGGTACCAACCAGGCACCAACATTGTTTAATGTTGTGATTCTATGGGAACCAATCATTCAACGTGACATGGCCTGGTAA